AATAATCGAGTCTGGACCAGACAATCCAGTGATCAACAGCATGAGCATCGATCTGCGCAATTGGGAACCGATGACATGTGTCACCCAAGCCAGCGAGCCTGACCACCCGATCCCGTTAGTCGCCTCTAAAGACAAGATTGGGTTACTGAAGATCAACTCTATCCCGGACCTTCACGGGTGACTTAACTCAGGAATACACGAACATATCTATATCCCCTTTAAAACCTACATCCCACCAAATTGCCAACAATAATAGTCAAAAAACTCTGAGATTGATTTACTATACAGTGGACTCTGAATTATCCGACAATCTGTTTATTCCGACATATATTTTTGGGCCCCGACAGCGTTCTGCTATATTATCATCATATTAATATTGAATTATCTGACATCTGTACATTCAGAATTCCGACACCATTTTCTGGTAACAATGACACTATCACGCTGTACAATCCGACACCCTCTCCCCTATATTAGACTAAAATAGCCAATCAACCTGTCAATGGATACAATGGAGGACTTTTTCATGAAAGTGTGAATGTGATTGTGAGTGGGTAGTCCGCATGGTATGTACATTGTACTGAAGAGAATAAATACCAATGATACATGTGTATGTAAATACTGATTTTGTTTTTTTCCCTTTATTCACCAAGTAAATAGCTATCAAACATTAATTTCATGAAGCCAGTTACAATGTATGGTACTGTTTGAAAAGTATTCAAGCAACGAGACAGTGAATTATCCGATACGCTGTATAATTCGACATGTTCCCCCGGTCCCAGTGAGTGTCGGATTATACAGCTTCCACTGTACCTACTGAAATTATTTTGGTGTGCAATGTATTGTTTACTTATTAATAGATAGAAGAAGAAAAGTATTCTAGAACTTTTCGTTTATAATGATAGTTTCCTTTCTTGATAAGCAACCACCATTCTTAAAAGTAGACACTTCAGAGATCGATTTCCCATAAGATTAGGCAGATCGATCAGGCACCGTAAGAGCCCAAATCTATTCTGATGAACTCTTATAGCCTACAGAATTCTCGGGATCTTGACATGGACAAGTATCACAGTTTGGAATATGTCATCTGTCATTGTGCTTTTGGATGAGCTATTTCAGTAGAATGGGCGGTTTTACGAATGTGTTTATCTCACATACTATTTTTTTACATTTTTTTATTCACTTCACTTGGATACACTTTGTATGAAACAATCCGTGGACATAGTTTTGTAATGATATATTATGAGAAATGGCATGTCACTTTGTTTCAATTTCACTGGGAAATAAATATGTAAAACTGGAACAAACGCAGATACACTTGAGTAGAACTATTTCATTGTCATAATCACAGAACATTTTGGAGCCTAATCCATTTTCTCTCAAATAAATTCATATTGAAATTGTTTCTGGCAATATATTTCTCAATGTCATACACATCTTTTAATAACCCTTTATATGTGGTGAAACTTGGTTTCACACCCTTGATATTCCTGACAAAATTGGCTAGTATGATCATGTGGTTGAGCAAGGGGTCGCTATTCGCACAAAATAGTATATCTTGAGCTGAGAGTACGAATGTTCTCTGCAGGACACAATTAACAAAACCGGTGAATTCTTTCCAGAATAATCTAATGATGGGACTTTCAATATATACATGATAAATATTCTCACTTACGTCAGACGATATACATATGTCATTATCAACTAGTTTCATTTTAATGTATAAATAACTCTATTAATAAATTTGTATTGAAAATCCAAAAAGCTTTGGGTCTTTAATGGTTAGTCTATATTGCACAAATATGGTCTTCCAATCGATATGATCGTTTACTTCACTTTCCCATTTATCGCATACGTTAGGAAAATTGGATTTCGATATGAGACTCGTAAACTAATCTATATCCTTTAGTCGGTATAATAAGATCATTCCATGGGGAACTTATCGATACTTTTGTTATGTTTGGGTGTCCAGCAGTTTGAATGACTTCTTTCCATTTTGGGGGAATACTGACGATGACACGATTTATGTCAAGTACTGTGCCCTTAATATCAAATTTTGTTTTAAGTTCTGCAAATGAGAGTACCTCTTGGTCATTGAAAATGTCTTTAATATTAACAATTCCTTGTTTGAACCAGTTATTGATTATCAAATATGTGTTGCGAAACTGGTGATTTAACCAGAGAGGTTACTTCCCGCTATCTTATTATTGAATCCTGAGAATGAATCAACTTACCCGCTTTTCTACATATCGCAATATCGCTGTATCGCCATATCGCAATGTCGCTGTATCGCAATATCGCGTCGCCATATCGCAATATCGCCTTTTCGCGTTATCGCTATATCGCAATGTCGCCTCTTTTTATCGCCATTTCGTGTCTTTTTATCGCCATTTCGTGTCGTGTTATCGCCATTTCGTGTCGTGTTATCGCCATTTCGTGTCGTGTTATCGCAATGTCGTGTCGAGTTGTTGCCATTTCGTGTCTTGTTATCGCTATATCGTGTCTTGTTATCGTCATGTCGTGTCGTGTTATCGCTATTTCATCTTTGGCTATATCGCAATATCGCTATATCGTGTCGCCATATCGCAATATCGTGTCGTACTATCGCTTTGTCGCGATATCGCCTAGATTTCTTCAGGGCGATAAAGCGATGGCCCGAATGAGCCACCATATCCATGTATATATGATCATGTTCACCTAAGACGGGTTCTCGGTACGGCCTCGCTTGAACTTTTAGTCATTACGTAGAGGGTAATGTCCGAGTAACTCTCCATTCCTTAAAAGTAATGGAGCCGAGGCCCCGGAGGGGCCGAGGCACATTATTTTTAAGGAATGGAGAGTTACGAGGATATTACCCTGCTTAGATTACATTCAAAGAACTGGGGATATTTCTGTTATCAAAATTAAATGTCAAAATGACAAAATGAAAGCCTTAATTTGAAACTGGTACACATTGCTCCATTCCCGAAAAGTAATGGAGCGAGCAAACAATGGAATGACGTCACAAATGTAATTTAAAAGTGGGTTCGGCTGTTCGGAACAAATTGTCACTTAGAAGAAAAATATGAGTGAGCGATTGAGTGAGTTGAGTGAGTTAGTATGGGTTTACGCCGCATTTAGCAATATTCCAGCAACATAACGACGGGGAACACCACCACGGGGCTTCACACAATTGAACCCGGGTCTTCAGCGTGAATAATATATGAAAAAGTATGATGACAAACGATGTGGAAAAGAATGATATATTTAATAAAGTAGTGGTATGACTACAACACTGCGAAGTTTCACCTATCACAGTCTTTCATTAACTAATCGACACACATCAGCGTTTGTAGTATGTACTCAGGTTCACTACATCATCAGTCTAGTGACATTTACCTCTTTAACTCGTTATAAGACAATATTTTCAATTATGAAATATGCAACTTAATTGTACAGATTTACCCTAAAAGAAGAAGAAGAAAAAATAATAAAATAAAACAAAAAAACAACAACAAAACAAAACAAGCCAAAAGGTTTCCATAATCATAAATATTTGCAATTTGTACTGTATCGTAATCATTTATTTTTGAATCAGTATTAAAAAATGTCTTGCGAAAAGGTGAGGGTACCCACAAATACATGCAAAGTAAAGTCAAGTTTAAGTCTTAGCCTTAAACACTCGGGTACATTTAGTGCAAGGTTAAACAGGGAACCATTTCCGTTGTAAAAAGGAATTTCCGCTAAAAGAAGAACCGATTCTACGATTCCAACTGTGACGAGACCATATGTTTAAAAATCACAATCAAATAGTGCCGACACAAAGTCTATTCGTGAAAAACCAGTGCTTGTTAAAACAAACAACTATGCTGACATGTTCAAACATACATAATTCATTTCCCATCGTTTCTACATAGAAATCAATATGGAGACAAACGCTAATTGTCTACACTCGGCTCGCCTCCATCCTACATGCTATCTCGGTCTTGGTACGAATCCATATTGAAACCAAATTGAAGCCAGATTGAAGTTAACGTGACTGTCACATACACAACCTAATTTGGCGACACTTATGTTAATATTGCTCAATTTACCTAATTGTATGTTCAAAATAATTTTGTACGAACAAGATTAGCCATGCAATCCTGTGGTTTCACAAGGAGTAGGGTCGATATGTAAACAGTCATGACGTCACTCTGATGTGCATTGACTGTTTTCTGACTTATTTTCTGCTATACAAAGTTTAACTCATAGATAATTCTAAGCACAGGTATTACAAATGTATTGACTTCAACGATCAACGATCCCACAATATGCATATGTTGTACGATTATACTGCTATATTTGGGCTAGGGGTAGGCAACCTTTGCTTGTCGTAGAGGGCGAATCGGGTGGTCAGACTCGCTGACTTGGTTGACGCACGTCATCGTAACCCAACTGCGTAGATCAGTGCTCATGATGTCAATGGATTGTCTGCTCCTGACTCGACTATTAATATAACAGACGGTCATTATAGCTGGAATATTGCTGAGTGCGGCGTTAAACAGTAGTCAAACAATCTGTTGTAGTTGGACTGATACCTGATCTGCAGTCCTGGTCCCAGTCAGCGTATATGTTTCTTCTTCTTAATGTCGGGCGTCAGGCTGGGGAACATCAAGTACCATCAAATAAGATCCATAATCGCAATGTTGACAGCTATATACGTTAATGTTTCCAATTGAATCCTTATGTAATTAAGACTCTACGTATAGCTCGAAAAACATTCGATGGCCCCTACCACTTCGAGAAAATATCATGTTTACTGATTATTGTGATGCTTGTACAAAAATTATGTTTTTTAATTCTTTTTTAGTTAAACAACTAACAGTTATTATTAAGTCAATTTGCTTCTGGCAATCTATTTTGTTTTCAAGGGCCATGTTATGCTCGACGACTTGTAAGGGTTTATTTATTTTGTCGGATATGATTCCGATTGTTATTTTGGCACTGGCGATTCACTTGACCTTGTATTCTGTTCGCAGTTAGCAACAGCGGGGAAACAAGCGGCATCAGCGTCATCTTCACCGACGAGATAACGTATCCTCAGCTTCCCCGGGTTCGAACCCCGCCCTCTGTCAAGCGGAAGAAAAGTCAACCTCGTCGACAAAGTCCTACCGCAAACGGCGGCGGCAGCACCAGAAGAGGTAGTGTAAATATTGTGTAAACCACACGTGACCTGGCGAGGTGCATTTAAGGTTCATTGAAGAAATATTTTGTAAGGTAGCATCCATTTCCGTTTTTTAAGGGGCTGAGATGGGGGTGGGTGATTTTAAAGAATATATTTCACAAAGCTACTTTCATCAAACAACTTATTAATTCTTTTACTATTAACATAGACCATTTAACTCTAGGGTGTTTTCTAAGATTGTGTAATTGATTCGATTTAAAGCAAATACAGTTCTTAAAAAGTACTGTTAAACTTCAAGGAGCACATTTGAGGCATGTTGTTAAACAAACTCCAAAGTTTCCATATATTCCCCTTTTCCCTTGAAATCATATGGATGTTCCCTACAGAAGGCAATGATGTAGTGAGTTTTTATGTAACGTTCAAACTTGCGAGACACTATACAGTACAGTTGCACAACACAGCGTGGTGGTACAGGAGATGATGCAATACGATATACATTATAAGTGATGAATCGTTGCGGAAGAACGATGTACCATTTACAGTGAATATACTGCTGTTAAGAGTTGCCTGCTGGGATTCTATGTAACGGACCAATATTTCCCGTAAGTAAGTCACGGCACTTCGCGAGACCTTAGTACTTCCGGTGACAAACAACGTTTCATACCTTTTCGAATGGTCTCATGGTTGTCAGCTGACAGTAAGGAACCGATAATCCTTGCAGGAATAACAAGTTTCCGATCTAACCATCCCCAAATTAGCCAACTATTACGACTGTCAACAGCTGTGACAGCCAAGCATGGTCCGTTCTAGTAAAGTCATATTTGGCAATCTCGCAATTTGGAACCAGAGGTTCTTGAATATACGCGTGTAACCGGACATCTGGTACCGGAAGTAAGCTGGGCCCCGTCTCACAATTTGGCGCGCGCAAAGGGAGCCGGGAACCAGCTTAGTATCGGAAGTAGCGCCTCGCGAGACTTACAGGCAATATGCTTGTCGTTAAAATTAGAGGCGACTAAAGGAATTGTGTGGTCATACGCGCTGAGGGAGGTGGGGTAGCCTTGTGGTTAAAGCGTTGGCTCGTCACGCCAAAGACCCGGGTTCGATTCCCCACATGGGTACAATGTGTGAAGCCCATTTCTGGTGTTCCCCGCCGTGATATTGCTGGAATATTGCTAAAAGCGGCGTAAAAACCACACTCACTCACTCACTCATACGCGCTGACTTTGCTTGATTGCATGTCATAGTAGTAATTCTCATGATGTCAGCCTCTGGATTACTGTTCGAGACTCGATGACATACAGGCCAGTGTCGTATAGCTCTGACATAGCTAAGTCCAGCGTTTACCAATGAACAAACTTTGGTTTGGTGTATGTACCATATAACATGACGTTTGACATTGAACAATGTCATGTTATTTAAATTATGTCATCATATGATATTAATGTCATTTGTCTTTAAGGTTCAATGGCCTTGAAAAAATAACGGGACGTCGAGAAGAAGATCTCTGTTCCCTACAATGGCGGATGTCGACGTTTGAGCTGTCGACGGTGTTGACTTCGTTGATAAGCAGCAAGAAAGTGGCATTTGTAACAGCCCTTTGCTTCCCACATACACTTGCTACCGATTCTAACTTTGACATCGACGTATTGTGACGTCATGTGTTATTACATCGACGTACTATGACGTCATGTGTTACGACATCTCATCATGAAGCCGTCGGTATGACCTCACATGACGACGTCACAACCATATCTGTGATGTATTACGAAGATATTGGATAACCATGTGCATTCAACACAACCCGGTGATAAAAATACTTTGCTTGGTGTAGTTAAGTAAAGTTATTAATGGGGCTGTGGGACAAGGAATAGCCCAGACAGTTATTCGCTGGACACCGTGTTATGGAGAGACCGTATGGTGGTAGATAACACCAGTTGTGACAGTCTTACATTACTGGTTTTGTAAAGAATATGTCTATTTTAGGATTGACAAATATGTGTGGTTTGTTGCTTCGGTTGAAATGGTAGGTGGTTGTGGATTATGGATGGCTGTTAAAATGATTCATGAGGATATGAACGAAGTGATACTTAACATGTGATATTTTATAGACATTACGTTTATAGAGAGCAACCGACAGATTGGAACAAAGGAATAGGATGCATGGTTTTGAAAACCATAATTAGGATAAGGAAAAAACACACCAGTCAACTCTACCGGGGAACCTAGAATGTTTAAAGAGTTTGTCATGGATGGGGGATGAGTTTAAGGAGTTTTTCAAATTTAAAAAATGGAAGACAAAGCAAAGGTGAATTGGAATAGTGTGTTGTCGCGCTTTGATAAATTTTGATAGTTTTCAGAATTTTTTTTACAGGGCAATGCGAGGGTGCCTTAACTGTATCACTTTTAGTATTCCATGCAAACCACAGATATAATTGTTAATTTAATAAATATAATTATTCTTTAATATCTCCCTCGCTGTATCATCTTTGCCACCCTGTCCTCCTTGTCCTTTTTGTCCTCAGACGTCCCGAGTCGCCAGTGGTCCACATCCTCAGACATATCTGCACTCCCGAGATTATTTTACTATTCTGAAATCTCAGTCGTTTTCTTGGGTCACAGAGTAAGTTAAAAAAAGGAAATGAAAACAAAAACAGTAGATTATTTTGCAAGGATAACAATTGGAACACTTTTCTTATCGATAATTCATTACGTTTGTGTCTGAAGGAGCTGAAGGGATGGTCCCGCATTCCAACCAAGATATGAAATACGGGAGCTCCGACACGAAGTATCGATTCCAACAAAGATTCAACATTAAAGCAATTTATCAAGAGCTGCAGAAATCTCGAGCTACAAAACTAGTGATTTTTGCAAATGAATCCCTGCTGGCCAATCGATCCCACATTACATTATCGTCTGCTTTGTTTTCAAAATGGCGCTGGTTTATGACGTCACGCTCGTGAAATTGATTGGCGCCATCAATCAGATTGCGGGCCACCTGTTGAAACTCACACACTTGTCTGGATTTGGGTATTGGTGATTTGAGATATGGAAACTGGGCACAAGAGAAGAAAATGGTGACGGAATGAGGTTGCTTCCATTAAACGATTTTTAAATTGCTTAGCTATTTCAAGAAGAATATTGGCAGACGTGGTGTACATTGTTATACTGTGTGTATGTTTATATGTAACATTGAACAATATATTATACGATCGATATTTAGTCTACAAATGTTGTTTGTGGTTTGTCTTCGATCACTTCAAGTATTCAGTACTTACAATTCAGTATTCGTTCAAGGACTTCAATTGACGTTCAATGATATTTCTGCGAAAAGAAATCCTACTTACTTACTATACCACAGTCTTCTGTTTGACGCAGCGAGTGTTGAAAAACATTTTCGATTCATGATAAATCCACAGAACGCAATCTCTAAGAAACAGCGAAGAGACATTATAGAATATTCTGAATATATGGTGTGTGTGTGTGTGTGCGTGTGCGTGTGCGTGTGCGTGTGCGTGTGTGAGATCGCACAACGTAGATGTAATCCTATGTTATATGCATAACGTTAAACTTAACTCAATAGTCCGACTGTGTTCACAAGAGTGAGTGAGTTTAGTTTGACGCCGCACTCAGCAATATTCCAGCTATATAGCGGCGGTCTGTAAATAATCGAGTCTGGACCAGACAATCCAGTCATCAACGGCATGATCATCGATCTGCGCAATTGGGAACCGATGACATGTGTCAACCAAGTCAGCAAGCCTGACCACCCGATCCCGTTAGTCGCCTCTTACGACAAGGATGGGTTACTGAAGGCCAATATTCTAACCCGGACCTTCACGGGTAGTGTTCACAAGAAACCGATTCTGAAGGTAGAACTTTGCACCTATAAGTCGTTTTATTACCTTTGAGTAGGCCTACCTACTTGCAGTCACTACTTGACAATATTGAAAAAAAAGGAAACTGCGTGTTAACCCCCTGGGTGCCACAGGGACATATATGTCCTTCCCCTTCAACCCTCAATTTGAAGTCCAATAAAAATAAAAATATCCCACGCACACAAATACACTTTACAGTTTCGAATTCTGCGGGAAATTTCCCGTTTCTTGCTACCATCCACTATAATTTTAGACAAAGCTCAAGAGCTGAAAATGACCTTTCAAAATAGGCTTCATCGAAAATGTCGCCATTTTTGACACAGTACAAAATCGCGATTCAATCGCGTTATTTGCTGTATGTTTTGAAATGTGAAAATCGGATAATTACTGGGAGTATTGAATTTCAGAAATAACATATTCATGATCACTGATATCAGTTTTACAGGAAATATCTAATGATAATTCTGAAACGTTGCCGATGAATCTAGAATCGGTTGGGAGGTTTTCAAAATACACGAACGCCGTAGCTTTATCATTTGAAGAAAAATACAGACGTTAAAATTTGATGAGACAGTTCGAGAAAACAAATCTTTGAGGGGAAATCATAGTTGAATATCGTGCTTCAACTACGAATCTCGTTATAGGTATAAATAAACAATTATGCAGAGCTAACCTTTCAATTTGTAGAGGTATTGATTTTATGAAGTGTCTGACATTTTGTGTTAGAGAAAGAGAGCACGGGAAAGCTTGAATTGTGAATTGAACTGAATCAGTAAAAAAGTAGGTGCTGAGATTAAGGCCATTTCTGTACTTAAACAGTATTTCAGTTATATTACGGTGTGTTAGCCTCATGGTGAAGGAAAGCCGGAAGTGACGCAGGTCTCTGACGTTTATCCCTTGGGCGAAATTATGAGCACAGTGAGACAGGTTAGTTTTACGCCGCTTTTAGCAACATTGCAGCAATATAACGGCGGGGGACACCAGAAATGGGCTTCACACATTGTACCCATGTGGGAAATCGAATCCGGATCTTCGGCGTGACGAACGAAGGCTTTAACCACTCGGCTACTCCACTGCCCCTATGAGCACAGATATTGTGTGACACACCAGGAAGCATAATAGAGGCGAACTGAGATACGAACCTATGATAAAAGGTTTTGGTGCTCCGAGATGTAGTAAATGTGATAAGCAGTGGCGGTGAACGACAAGTGTCAATATGACGTCAACAATCAAAGACCGTGATGTCAACATGACGTCATTACGTATTTCGTCATCAATAAGGCACAGATGGTTTTACGTCATCGTACCTTAACACCACAGTCTGCATTACGTCAGCCATATTTATGCTGAACGTGGAGTGAAGTTATCGCTAAACACAAGATTTTCATGGATGCTATACACTTTTTTATCATAAATCACATGTTGAGTAAGTGTCAAGATGTCGTGAACAGCGTACACTTTCTCCAGCACCATTACTACACCAAGAGATGGAATATCAAACACCTGCCGTTGCTTTCACGATGCTCTGTTTATGAAAGTAAGTATGTTAAACAAGCCTAAAAAATATTATTTTTCTATTCTGGTGTCTATAATCGGGATTTGAACACAGTGACTCAGTGTTTGGTCCTAATTTGTGACACTGCGGCTATTTTGTTTGTTTGTTTGAAGTTATAATTTTCAACACCGCAGCATGTGTATGTGTGGCTGCTTGTACTAGCCCAGACTTAAGCTGGTTTTATAGTGCTAGCCCACTGAGATACCATGCCGCAGTGAAGCATGAATACCCCACTCAGACACATAATACTGACTCCGAGCCGACCAGTCCTTGTTGTACCCATTTATGCAGAGCGCCAGGCAGGGACCAACAAGTACCATATTTTAACGTCTTTTGGTATGACGCTGCCGGGGATCGAACCCGCGACCTTCCGCTCTCCGGACGGACGCTCTAACCACTACACCACTAAAGAGGTCCACCAGGTCAAAGAGCCTGTGCACTTGTTTAACGATAAATGATATTCAGGTGAACTTTGCTAATGTTGTTTCAATAAAATATACTTTTCAAATCAATAGGTCATATAAGATTACAACTAACACTATTAGAAATACATTTATTACAAGGACTGTTCAGTTCTATCCTGCTGGCAGGTGGTCGGCCGATATGTTAATCCTGAACAGCTACACGCTGAACCTTAGGCGGAAGCCAGCTTAGAACCTGTTAGTACATGGACCGCCATGATAGTTCCACAGTACTCAAACTTTATCACTGATACCTTTATTATTAATTATTCATCAAACAGACGACACTTGATCCCAGCAAAGCGACACCATGAAATTCAAAGCGTATGTTATCAAACACATTTATTGATTCACCAAGATGATTGAACATATCAGTGTCATGTGAACACTCAACAACTACATCCACTACATATCAAGTATCATCACGGAGGAGATTATACATGTAAGGGTTCTATATTTGGACACGCGGAAATGGATGCATGGGCACTGTTGCTCACTTTGTGCTAGATCCATCTGGTGAGGGGGTTCTAGTGAGTCAGTAACTATGCTTTTAGGCCGCTTTTAGCAATATTCTAACAATATCACGTCGGAGACATCACAAATGGACTTCACACATTGTACCCCATTCTCTTCCCACAGAGGTTACTCCTGTCATATCTTCCTACATAACCTCTGTTCTAATACGACCCTTTCTTGGTGTCAGCGTTCAAGGCTCGTGATCGGAGACAAGCCGATTTAGTTGTGCAATCAGCGACGTTGTTTCAAAAGTGATCATTCGCAAGGCCTCGGTAATTTCCGTATGCTTCGGGAAAACTAGAACCTCTTCCCGAGCGCGATGCGCAAACGTTTCTTCTAGACAGAACTCAGTCATGTAATGGCGTATCAATGGCGTCTCCATCGCCCTCGTTGACAACGGACAAGCTAGCCATTAAACGTCTTGTGTGTAACATCAACACAATTCCCCGGCAGATGGCGGATATTTGTGGCCCCGCATTTGCTTGTGTTAGTCAAATTGAATCTAAGTCGATGTAACACGTGTTCTGATTGGATAGAAAGAAGGGAGATAATTCGTGTTGCGATCTTTTGCCGCTAGGGGATTTTACGAGGACCGGGAAATATGGCCGTATTAGAACAGAGGTTATGTAGGAAGATATGACAGGAGTAACCTCTGTGGGAAGAGAATGATTGTACCCACTTGTGACGACCGAACGCTCTTACCATGAGGCCACCCCCCTCGCGCCCTGGGATATCTTAACCAACATTCACAGAGTTTGGTTATCATTGCGGTCAATGGTGATTACTATGTCAACTCGGTGCAAGGGTGTATGAAACAGGAAACTCTAACAATACATTATGGTTTGATTGTAAATATTGTAACATCAGCTCCATAGCGAAATTATAACTTAAACTAACTTAAACTAATACTGGGGAATTCATAGGGTATTCCCCATGTGTCCCTCGAGGAGTTCCCTGGGAATGCGACAGTCAAAACGTGTCTGTGGTACGTATATGAACGCCAGTCTTTCGGGCAATAAGAAATTACATAAAAGCCTGGGGTTTGCGTGAATGCTGCGTTCTTCACTAAAATGCGATACAGTGGTCGCCATTTTGAATTCTATAGTGAGTGAGTGAATGTAGTTTTATACCGTTTTTAGCAATATTCTGGAATATTGCTGAAAACGGCGTAAAGACATACCCACTGAGCAGTATCACGGTGGGGGAAACAAGAAATGGGCTTCACACATTGCGCCCATGTGGGAATCGAACCGGGCCGTCCACGTGACGAGCGAACGCTTTAACCACTAGGCTACCCCACCGTCCTCGAATTCTTAAGAAGAGAAACGTGTACTTTGTTGTAGCAGGAATATGTAGAACATTCATTCGTTTATGATGAAAGATGTGCACAGGAGTTTTCTAGACAAACCGCTTTATTTCAGTGCATGAGGTTGGACCACCGAAGAAAAACATTGGCCTACTTTGACGACGTCAAGGCACACTGCACAGTTACATGTTGAACTTAGATACGCTCATAGCCCACTGGTCCATGAGGGCTGAAACAAAGCTACCCTCCCACTGAGTGAATAAAATGATCTCCAATGAAATATATCATACAGATGACACACAATACAACGTATACGTCGCCATTTACAAACACACGAACATGTGATACTATTTGAATCATTCATGATTGGGATTCGTTGGACGAATCCCTACTTTGAGTTTTCTGAAACCTA